AAGTCTGGTAGTCTTACTAATGTGTCAAATTATAGAGGAATTGCAAAATTAAGTGCCATGCCAAAATTGTTTGAAAAATTAATTACTGCAGTAATTTCACAGAAAATTCAATCTGTATTGAGTCCATATCAGCATGGTTTTCGTAGTGGTCTTTCAACTACAACAAATCTTATACAATTTACGTCAACAGTAATAAAAGGATTTGTTCAGCGTAAACAAACTGATACAATTTATACTGTAATAAAAGGATTTGTTCAGCGTAAACAAACTGATACAATTTATACTGATTTTAGTAAAGCTTTTGATAGGGTTAACCATGAACTCCTAATATATAAATTAAATTATATGGGTTTCAACACAAACTTAGTCAAATGGATATCATCTTACTTAAAAGATAGATCACAACTAGTTTTGTTTGAAGGGTATCTATCCAAAACGATTAACGTTTCATCGGGTGTTCCGCAAGGAAATCACCTTGGACCGGTCCTCTTTCTTTTATTTATCAACGATTTACCTAATTCCATAAATTACTCGAAATTGTTAATGTACGCAGATGATGTTAAATTATTCATTTCCCATAATTGTGATAAACGAGCCAGTTTACTTCAAAACGATTTAGATAGCCTTTTTAAATGGTGCAAGTTAAATTGTATGGAGTTAAATTTAAGCAAATGTAAGCATATGTGCTTCTCCAGATCTTCTTCTCTGATATTACAATATAATATTGACGGTCATTCATTATCAACTGTAGATTCATTTGTCGATCTAGGCCTCTTGATGGATCCAAAATTAAATTTTAATAGCCATGTAATAACAATGGTAAATAAAGCAAATGGTGTTTTAGGTTTTGTTAAACGGTGGGCCAAAGAATTTTCTGATCCATATATAACAAAGCAGTTATTTACGTCTCTTGTTAGACCTATATTGGAATATGGTTCTGTTGTATGGGATCCTCAATATGCAATATATTCAGATAAAATAGAATCCGTGCAAAAACAATTTCTGCTATTTGGCTTACGAAGTTTACATTGGAATAGTGATTTTGTTTGGCCTTCTTATGCTAGCAGGCTAAAATTAATTAGATTGCCTACACTTAAAAGCAGACGTATTATGTTGAACTCCATGTTTGTACTAAAAATATTAAATGGTTATATACCTTCAGATTTCCTAATCTCATCTATTAGAATTAATGTTCCTTTTAGATCTAGTAGATACTACCAATTATTATATACTGATTTTCACCGCACGAATTATTCAATGGGCGAACCTCTTAATAAAATGTGTGTTGACTTTAATTCTGTGTATTGTAATGTAGATTTTTGTATGAGTTTAGAAGTTATTAAATCTAGAATAATTTTATTTTTAAACAATTAACATACATGTTTTATTATTTGACAAACTAGCTGATGAATTAGATTCTGTAGCTGGTTTTCAATTTCCTACTGAATTCCCATTATGATGCGGATCATGATGTGTACGCGATCCCTCCGTAAAGGGAGTTCGCCCCCTCGGTCGGCAGGGGTGGGAATGTGAGGCATGGGAACGTTCGAAAAAAAAAAAAAAAACTCCTTCAGTAAAAGCATTGATAAAGTCCAAAGAGTTGCATCGCCACTAATTACAGGCGCGTTTAGGAGCACACCCCAATCCGCACTAGACACCCTACTCAATTTATTTGTAGAGAACAAGCTGCTAGGTGTGTCCTGCGACTCAATGAACTGGGGGAATGGCGGACACTGCGCCATTATCAAGTATGTGGGAAGCATAGTAAATCAGGCTAGCTAGCGATTATATATCACCTAGGCACAGCTTTGAACTACTTGATAACCATATACCTAACAGAGATGTGACACTCCACCTTTTAACGGTATAGTTGTCTATACTGATGGATCAAAGATGGAAAGTGGAACGGGAACCGGGGTCTACTGTGAAAGTCTAAATATCCAACGATCCTTCAAACTAACCAATTTTTAAGGCAGAAGTCTTTGCTGTCAGACATTGCAACATATCTGGCAATGAATCGGCTGATGAATTGGCCAGGAGCGGATCTGAGTCAGTAGATCTTGAGATTGAGAGCTCAGTGAAGCCACCCTTATGTCACTTCTTCCAAGTACTGCATTAGCATTATCTTGGGATCTGACTAACTGGAAGGGGATGTAATGTCTCTAAAAAGATCTGGGCAGTGAACCCCGAAAGGAGGCTAAAGACATCACGTTAACACACCGTGGATACAAACCTAATAATTTCTCTACTCTATACAAATTCTTACTTTTCGCTATTCATTTCCTTTTCTTCTCTCTATTATATTCTCGTATTTTCTTAATTAGGATGAACACAATGGACCAAACGGTCTCCGAGTGGAGTGGTTGTTTTCTTACAACCGCGCATCCTCTAACCTAACCTAATCTTAGAGGTAATGTGCTAAATTGTCGGATCTCTCCTGAAATTCTTTAATAAATGCCCTATCTGGTCAAAATTCTTTTAAAATTAGTTGGCATAACAACTGGTTCTACAATTTTGAAAGCTCTACTTTCAGAAAATGCAGATCGGTGCTTATAGCACCTCAAAAAGTAATTTTCACAATTTTTGATTTTATATAGTAATTTTATCATTAGCCGTTGTTTCCGGCCATATGTTATATTTAAAGGCATTTGTACGTGTTTGGATTTACCAGTATGGACAGTATCAGTCTAGGGAGGAACGCCAGAAGTAGGAACAATTTATTTTTGTTTTAAAACTCGGAGCACCCCGAATTTGAGCAAACAATACCAATGGGGTTGCCAACTTTATTATCTGTTTTATTGTGATTTTCATTAATGAGTGATGAGCCTGTCCATTTTAGTACAGAGAGTGCAACTGTTACCAGGTAATGCAATACATGTGTGCATATAGCAGCGGGTCATCTAAATCATTATATGATGGATTAAACTCCACCACCACGATGTAAAGATGGAGGTCAAACGCTATAAGAAAAAGCCACTAGATCAAGAATCCCATCAGGTAGTACTAAGTGACATTCATACAGGTGTAGCCAGGGATACCATTAACTACAGTATAAATATCGTCCTCTGACTGCATACTACATTGTAGCACCTTTCCAAAAAGGTGCTATTGGTATTGATATCTCTTATATTTCCGAAGATATTAGTCATGCAAATCATGAAATTGAGTTTTCACCCACTAATATGTATCTCTTATAGCTTTGTAGTTCCGAAGATATTGTCTTTACAAAAATTATAATATTTAGAAGAACTATGGGTCGCGTAGCCGGTGTTGGACATACCTCAGGAGAAAAAATCTCTGGCCTTTCCAAAAAGGTGCTATTGGTATTGATATCTCTTATATTTCCGAAGATATTAATCATGCAAATCATGAAATTGAGTTTTCACCCACTAATATGTATCTCTTATAGCTTTGTAGTTCCGAAGATATTGTCTTTACAAAAATTATAATATTTAGAAAAACTATGGATCGCGTAGCCGGTGTTGGACATACCTCAGGAGAAAAAAACTCAAGCGCCGGCCGAAGGCCGGCTACTCACAAAATTTTCAATGTTTACAAAAACTTTGGATCGCGTAGCCGGTGTTGGACTTACCACAGAGGAGAAAATCTCAAGCCCCGGCCGAAGGCCGTCGACTTACAACAACTTTAATGTTTAGAAAAATTATGGATCGCGTAGCCGTCGTTGGACATATCTTAGAGGAGAAAATCCCAATCCCCGGCCGAAGGCCGGCTACTTACAAAATTTACAATGTTTACAAAAACTTTGGATCGTAGTCGCCGAAGGTCGGCGACTTACAACAACTTTAATGTTTAGAAAAACTATGGATCGCGTAGCCGGTGTTGGACATACCTCAGGAAAAAAAATCTCAAGCCCCGGCCGAAGGCCGGCTACTTTCAAAATTTACAATATTTACAAAAACTTTGGATCGCGTAGCCGGTGTTGGACATACCACGGAGGAGAAAATCTCAAGCCCCGGCCGAAGTCCGGCTACTTACAACAACTATAATGTTTAGAAAAATTATGGATCGCGTAGCCGGTGTTGGACATATCTTAGAGGAGAAAATCTCAAGCCCCGGCCGAAGGCCGGCTACCTACCAAAATTACAGTGTTTAGAAAAACTATGGATCGCGTAGTAAGTGTTGGACATATACCAGAGGAGAAAATCTAAAGCCACGGCCGAAGGCCGTCTGTTTCAAAATGCTATAGAGGTTAGATACATTTGACTGGAGAAAAAATTGCAATTTAATGATTTCTATTACTAATATCTTCGGAACTACAAAAGATATCAACACGTATGACACCATTTTAGAAAGGAAATAGTGTTGGCTGTTATAAGTTAGGCAGATTTTAATACCCTATAATGGTTCCATTTTTGAGTTTTTATGGGTTTTTCAAAAAGTACTAGTGAAAAATATCATTTTTCTTGCATTACTCTGGAACCGGTTCTAGTAACCCATCATGTGACCCCTTGTTGGATAGGTATTTTCATAAGCTTTCAAATGATCGGATAAAAACCGAATATTGTATCTGAACTTTCGGGTCGAATAAACGGGTAACCGGGTATTTCCCCCACAAAAAAATTACTTTGCCGTAATCAGGTTAAAAATACCTACCTGTGGTAAAAATTTTTAGGGATTAGGGTAAAAATACCTACCACTGGAAAATTTTTCGAAAAAACTCAAGAGTTTTTACTAAACTAGAGTTAAGCCAGTACTTTTTTTCGTAAACTATGTAATTCCGCTCTACGAAAAAAGAAAAAACTGAAGAGTTTTTACTAAACTAGAGTTAAGCCAGTACTTTTTTTCGTCAACTATGTAATTCCGCTCTACGAAAAAAGAAAAAAAATGTGCATAGTAGCTAGAGTGGCACCTAAGATATAGTTGAACCCACGAATAACAAACAATCTTTTGCATTTACAATACCAAATAGTAAGCAGAGCATGAATATCAAACAAGAAGTGTATTATCTCATTTGAACATTTCCAAATACGCATACATACCTCTAGAGACAGGCAGCTGAGTATTTGTATTACTATAGACGGCGATGAATCATCGAAAATATTTAGTGCTGATTTGGCTCTAATATTTTCTGTTAGAAAATCGCTATTTTCACAATTATAACTTAATTTTTCATTTGTTATTCTGTTTTTTGACTCTACGTTGTTATATCCAAAGTAGAGTTTTTGGGAATCGTTACTCTTTTTTGGTATTGACCCCAGTGTGGAAGGCACATATTCGGGGGAACAAGCGGTGTGTTTGTTGCAGCCTTTGGTATGTTTTATTAAACCTGTGCTCTCAATACCTTTTAGGTCGACACACATTTTGTTTCTATTAATTATACAACTACAGTCCGTAAACAAATTTTTATGAAATTCAACTTCGTCGCATATTCGGTGCGTCAATATATCATTTTCTTCAATCGACACCAAACACAATCGACACACTTGAAAGAATTTCTGTGGTATACTACACATATTTGCCAAATACAACAAAATAAACAATTTGTCATTAATACGGATCCTAGCTTGAAAACTGTTGAATAAATTTGTGTTTACATCTATGAAAGGTAAATCAAACAAAGCCAACAAATATACATTGGCACAAAATGGCTGTCAAAACAATACGCTATGTGTTATATATGAGCACTAAGAACTATTTACGATTTGTTTCAATATGTTCTGCAGATGGCGCGCAACTATTTGACTTTAAATTCACATCATCCTCGAAAACCTATGTTGTGTTCCAGAACCAACAAATTAGTACTAATTCTGCTACAACGCGTTCCCGTACTCCAAAAACTAGCAAAACTTGCAGCTCTCTCTAGAAAAAAAATGGCGGTGAATGGTGCACATTTCTGCTTGTTTTAGCTACATGAATTTGGCCGAGCAGAAATGTGCACATTGCAAATTTGACATTTAATTGGCAGGGCAAACAAGGTTGAAAAATGTATTGATATATTTCAATATTCGCGCGAGTTACGTAATTGTTCAGTTATGCCCTTCATGAAATATATTGTGTTACTTTTTTTATTTTCATTCTTTATTTCTTTATTAATTATTCTTTATTCCTTTCCTTTTAAATTGAATTCTGATCTCTCTCATACATAACCCTTAGTTTTTAAAAATTATGTAATAAATATTGGTGTTAGTCATAGAGTTAAGTTAGTTGTATGTAAGAAGTAAAAGCGAAGTGTCGCCAATATTAATGAATAAAATTAATAGAACTTATGTGTGTTTTTCTATTTTCTTAACTCGCGTCACAACAAAAATAAAGAAAATGATCAACTTAAAAACTAAAGGAAAAACTAGTATTTGTCGTGCAAAAAAAAACAAAAATTGAAAATATAAACCAACTGATGTATTCACTTTTGGATGATTCCAGCAGTGAAGAGGAATCAGATTATTAATTATAATTATAGATCATTAATTTTAACTTATCGTCTTCAATACTAATTTTTTTAAATTTTGGCGTCCTTTTCAGTAAGGTTTCGCCAGTCCGATTTAGACTGTTTACTTTTGGAATTTTGACATTTGTTACATTCTGCCTACCATGGTAGAAGAATATAGGTAGACGCGTCGACACAGCTGCTGGGACAATGAACTGTCAAACCAATTTTGGAATTGAGAATGTTGAATGAAAAATTATTTAAATTTGTAAAAATTGTTGAAAAACGCGAATTGTAATAGCCTTCGAATAACGTAGTATAAGAAAACATATAAAAATCTACTTATATTTGAAAAAACTTTTGTATTTTATTGACATATCAATGCTCCCCAGTGTTGATGCATCTACCAGTATTCTTCTGCCATGCTGCCTACGCGGCGTTATGGTGGGGTTCCGCACTAGATCAGGAGGGAGCGGTTATCCAGGGGGTTCTCAACCCTGCCACCATCAACCCTAGGGAATGAACACTTAAAGAATTGAACCGGAATAAACATAAACAAAGAAAAACTGAAAACAAACATACAAAACATACACCTATGACAAAGGAGCTTGATATTATTGCTCCCCCACTATGCCCACCCATACTTGGCCCTTTAGTCCAAATACACTCAAAAAAATTTTAAAGGGCCACAAAAAGCCACGCACACTCACTTGCTTACAACGCCTAACCTCCTCTCTCACAAACAAAATTTAGCACGACATATTCTTGAAACAATTAGACATTAAACTTATTTATTAGAATCATTATTGTTCTCTTAAAACTAATTTCAACATGAACACATAAAAAAACTGGACTATTAATACCCGAACGAAAAATTTGTGTCAATACTCAGATTAAATTTTTTTTTTTACACTTTTAGAAGCGCCAAATTTTGGCCAATACAACTACTCTAAATTTCTGCCTAAAGGAGCTCGCTTAGGCGAATGTTTTGGGCATTCTAAATTCTTGTCCCAAAAAAAAAAAAAAAAATATAGAAATGGTCTAGCTGTAAATTTTGAGCCAACCCTGGGCATTAATTATTCTCACAATGACACCTTAAGCACTATTGATCTAACTACAAACAATACATTTAACTTATATACTAAACTACACAATATAGTTTTTTTTCTTCTGGTCAGATTCGGATAGATATTAATTGACGAATTTCAATTTTTTTTTATTTCAGTGGTGCTTGCGTCAAAGGAAAAGGAACTTCATATGACTCTTTTAGCGGGATTTGGCTTTCTTTCGTTTCTTTGGTAAGTAACTTAAACATTGAATTATATTACCTTCACAACGGCATACTTATTCAACTTTTTATCTTTTTTTTTACAGATTTTTAGGTGAGATCTACTGGTTATCTTTCCAGATTGGTACTGTTGTCTGTTCCAAGGGTTACCCACTGGCCATTTCCCAGGTCTTTTGGCCGTTCCCAGGACCTTTTATTTGCCTGGAACCTCTGTGCCGCACCTGGCGATACAAAAATAATTGTTGGGGATGGATGGTGTAAGTCATAGAGTTAAGTTAGTTGTATGTAAGAAGTAAAAGCGAAGTGTCGCAAACATTAAAGAATAAAATTAATAGAACTTATGTGTGTTTTTCTATTTTCTTAACTCACGTCACGACAAAAATAAAGAAAATGATCAACTAAAAAACTAAAGGAAAAAGTAGTATTTGTATTGTCGTGCAAAAAACAAAAAGTGAAAATAAAGGCCAACTGATGTATTCACTTTTGGATGATTCCAGCAGTGAAGAGGACTGGCTGAATGAGGAATCAGATTATTAATTATTATTATTGTATAAGTTCGATACGTTCCACCACAACTTTCCAATACTCGTCAATCACGGATGCTGATTGGCACACTGGCATCTCCTCTACAATTCGCTTGGCGGGTACCGTAGTGAGCGGATCGCCGCATAAATTATATTTAGAAAATACTAATTTATCTTTGTTTCATTTCTTGATTTTGTCTTTCTTTTATCCTACAATACACGCGCGAATCACCCGCACCTCACCAAATCCCTCAACTACACATCGCATATCTCACATCACAAAAAAAACTCTGGGGAGTTTTTATTGTCTTACCGCTATCGAAGCCATTCTCCCCACTCCCCTAGAGTTAAGCATTGGTCGCATCGAGCCGAATAGAAGCCTGTTGCCTTGCGTTTGTCGTTGCTCCCTTTATTTGCATGGAGATTACTTGGATCATCTCTCATCATCATAATCATCAACATATATAAGACTAAAAACCAGGTACGTAAATTCAGATCTCTATTTGAAGTGAGCTACCCGCGTTTGTTGGTGCGTATGTTAATTGTTTTTATTCGAAACTACATAATATTGGTCGATTTTCAATCACCCTTCGCGTGTGTCATTGTAATTCAAATACAGTCTATGCAACTATTGTTGCATTAAATTGCATTCGTTGTACTGATCATCCTTCGTCGCCGTGATCATACATTTGCCTTTCGTTTGAAAACAAGTCAGTTGGTCGACTTATATTAACCCTTCTTGTGTTAATATAGTGCATTCCCCTACAACAATTAGTTCTGTTGTTATGAAAATAGTTAGCTTTGGTGCTCTTGCTCCGCTTCGATCGTTATTTGCATTTCTAACCCTCATTTCAAATGTTGAACTCTTTGTGAGAATAGAAAGTGCCCCCCTCGTTGTTGCTCTACTCCTTCGCCTTAGTTGAAGAAAAATTTGCATCACCACAGCATACATGCACATTCTTTTATATTTGGTCGTTTGGTTTATTTGTTGTTCAATTTCTCACCAACCAAACGTTCGCTGTTGTTATCCCTCTTTACGTTTCAAAGGTTGAGCCCTTTAACGAGAATTGTTTGTTTCTAATTAGCAATAACAACACACTTGTAATAACAGTGCATCCATCTGTCGATTCGTTACTTTGTCGTCGTCACTAACGCGCATTTATTGTTGTTGCAATTCTTCATCGTTTGTTTCTGTCAATTCTCACTTGAGAATTTGTATTGCCAAAAATTGCAACAAAAATACTTCATCATTCCACGCGCCCTTTTTAGCGTCGGTTTGATATACAGTAAAAGTAACAACAAATTGTTTTGATCTCCAACTCTCACTGTTGGATCGTGGCGTCGCTTGTTGTGTGGGTCGTAGCTGCTTACGTATAGTCATTTCTCTGCCGACGTCGCTTGTGTTTTATTCCTCTTTGTGCGATATCCGTTGTTGGTTCGGCACATTGGGGTAAAACAGTACAAATTGTGATTTTTTTGTAATATATTTTAGAAATTATTTCTTGTTAATTTTGTGATATATTTTTGACTAGTAGTAGGGTTTTTGGAATTTTTGGACAAATTCACCCTACATTCGGCATTCTTTGCAGAAACATTTAGCAACAAATATTTGTGAAAATTTATCGTTTTTTGGCTAGTTTTGCAAAATTTGTAAATATTATTAAACGTTTGCAACTCTACGTAAGGTTTTTGGAATTTTTGGACAAATTCACCCTACATTCGGCATTCTTTGCACATATTCCAGTAAAATATATTCGTTGAAACTTTTAGATTTTGGCTATTTTCTTCAATTCTTTGGGCAATTTATTAATAGTTGTTAGTACTATTTGAGAATCTCTGTAGGGTTTGGGTATTTTTTGGAAGAATACACCCTACTTTCGGCATAATCTTGAAAAATTGTCAAAAATTGCATTAAACAGTCTGTACAGCTACTCAATTTGCAGCACATTTACACTAACTTTGGATAAATATCGTACTGGTGGTAAATTTTTGGAAATTTGTCATACATTTTGAAAAAAAAAAAACAATAAATACCCTATCATTGGCATAACCAAAGCATTAATTTTCGTAATTTATTGATATTGGAGCAATTTTAGTAACATTTGTCACATAGGAAAAGATTTTCTTAATTTCTCTCCTATTGAACAATATTTATAACTTTTTGAAGTATTTGGAGGTTTTAGTTTTGGAAATTTCTCATTTTCCTTCCTTTTGCATACCGTTTGTATTTTTTTGTCATACATTTAGTAACAAAATGTCGATCACTCCGCTCACACGTTTTACTAGAGCCGCTGACATTGTTCTGAGGAGTGTAGACTATTTTGAACAAATTGATGTCACACAGTTCAGTATTTACAGCCTCGAAATTCGACTTTCTGAAATTCAAGAATTATGGGAAAAAGTTCAGAACACTTTTACTGAGTGTAAAAACTACCTCACGGCATCCGAGACTGCACAGGCTGACCTTTTTGATGTCGTTGAGGATAAATACAATAATGCATTTATTGCATACCATTGGTGTTTGACCACCATAAAAATGCATTTCGACCGCCTTAAATCCCCAATAAGTGATAATTGTTATCCTGCTGCGGCTCCTCAGACCTTGCCTCCTGAAAACTCCACTATTGCAGTTAATAATGATAATGTGACACCAACTTCAGGCTTGCTTTCGAGCGAACCTATCTTATCGGTTCCTGTGCAGTCTGCTTCTCCACCCGTTAATACTTGTTCCAAATCTCCCACTAATAAGAAATCCAATTCACCCTTCGATAATCATTGTTTCATGTTGCCACCTATTGATATCGAAGTCTTTGCTGGTGATTTTGTATCTTGGCCAACTTTTCGAGAACTTTTCACCACCCTGTTCGTTAGTAATTCAGGCCTTTCCAACATAGAACGTCTTTGTCATCTTAGGCAGAAGACTATCGGTGAGGCTCGAGAAATCGTAGAAAGATTTCCCCTAACTAATTGTAGTTTCCATTTAGCTTGGAAAGCTTTGTCGGATGCGTATGATAATAAACGCATCCTCGTAAATAGTTATATCAAAAGTTTCTTTGACACTCCTTCCTTAGATATAGAAACTAGTCAAGGCTTGAAAAATGTCCAAAATGGAATTAATAGTTGTCTCGCTGCAATGGCCGCCTATGATGTCGCCACGGATCAGTGGGATCCAATCATTGTATATATTTGTTTGCAGCGCTTGCCCTTAAACACCTTGACTTTGTGGGAGCAAATTATCAGAAATTAGTCGTTGTTGCCTTCCTGACCAGAAGTAGATGCTTTTCTCACCGAAATAATACAAACTTTGCAATGTATTCAACATATTCGAAGAAATCTGCCCAAAAACATTGTTTCTTCCAAATTCTTGCCTAAATCGTTATCATCACAAAATGTTTCACCTCATCGCTCCTCCTCTAGATCGTTAGCATCTAAGCATGCTTGTACATCTAGTTCCACCATTAACAGGTCATTGATACATGATTCAAAATGTGTTGCTTCTTCTCCTCGGCCAAACACTTATTGCCCAATTTGTCGTAACCAAAGTAATATGCTCGGACTTTGCTCACAGTTCAGAAAACTTTCGTTTGAGGACAAATTCTTAATTGTGAAAAAGAATGAACGTTGTATCAACTGTCTAACATGTGACCATGTAGTGAAAAATTGTCATAGCACAAATAGTTGCAAATCTTGCAATCAAAGGCATCACAGCCTTCTTCACCGGCCACAAATTAGTAGATTTGTTGCAGAATTATCATCAAACCCATCTATGGTATCTACTAACATTAAACAGAGTAAGTATTCACCTTCCTGCATGTCTTCCCAAACACTCGGTTTCAAATCCAAGAATATACCTTCGGCTCTTACCACAGTCAAAAGTCGAGGTTTAAAGACCCCTCCGGCTTTTACAAAGGTCAAAAATCCAGGTTCAAAGACCCCTTCGGCTTTCACAAAGCCAAAAGTCGAGGTTCAAAGACCCCTCCGGCTTTTACGAAGGTCAAAAGTCGAGGTCGAAAGTCCTCTAGAACGCACCCACCCTCTGTTAAAAATAATTCTAACAGTCAGTCTCCCAACACCATTGAGAAAATGTGCTCTTGGGAACTGCACTAGTAAACATTGTTCATAATGGTAAATCTTACACTGCAATTGTAGACCCTTCTTCTAAGGCATCAATTGCTAGTAAAAAACTTAAAAAAAATTTGGCATTTTAACTCGCTCTGAAGCTACTCGCTCCAAAACTGCTGCACCAAGAGAAGTTTGTTCTCTTCAGTTGTCTTCTCCAAAAAATTCATCTAGAATAGTCGAAACTAGAGTTTTAGTCAAGCCTAATGTCACCGGGAAATTGTTTTCTCTTCCACCCATGACAAATTTAAAGACTAGAATTCCTAATCTTGATTTAGCGGATTCTTTCGATAATAGCCCAATAGATTTGCTACTTGGCGCTGACTTGTATCCTAAAATTTTAGAACCTTGGCGGATACCGTAGTGGGCGGATCGCCGCTGGGTATTGGTTGTTGGCGGTGGGCTCACCTTGCTCTCATTGGAAGTAGTTGTAGTTGTAATAATATACAGACATGGGACCCTCTGCGTTCACTTGTCTGTATTTGCATATGTATTAGAAATAGACAAGGGATCCTCTGCGATGACTTAGAACCTCTGCGTTCACTTGTCTTTGAGAAACGAAAGCGAAAGCACACAGGCCCCTGCCGCCACCCCAATTACTGAAGGTAATTTGTTCTTTGAAAAGAAAGAGTCACAATAAAGCATAAATTATATTTAGAAAAATACTAATTTATCTTTGTTTCATTTCTTGATTTTGTCTTTCTTTTATCCTACACTACACGCGCGAATCACCCGCACCTCACCATATCCCTCAACTACACACCTCACACATCATCTCACAATCACATAATAACTCTGGGGAGTTATCGTTGTTGTTACTGCCGCTGTCGAAGCCATTCCCCCACTCCCCTGAGTTAAACAATTATAGATTATTAATTTTAACTTTTCGTCTTCAATACTCATTTTTTCAATTTTGGCGTCCTTTTCAGTAAGGTTTAACCAGTCCGATTTAGACTGTTTACTTTTGGAATTTTGACATTTGTTACATTCTGCCTACGCGGCGTTATGGTGGGGTTCCGCACTAGCTCAGGAGGGAGCGGTTATCCAGGGGGTTCTCAACCCTGCCACTATCAACCCTAGGGAATGAACACTTAAGGAATTGTACCGGAATAAACACAAACAAAGAAAAACTGAAAATAAACATACACAACATAGACCTATGACACAGGAGCTTGATATTATTGCTCCCCCACTATGCCCACCCATCCTTGGCCCTTTAGTCCAAATACACTCAAAAAAATTTTAAAGGGCCCCAAAACCTCCTCTCTCACAAGCAAAATTTAACACGACATATTCTTGAAACCATTAGACATTAAACTTATTTATTAGAATCATTATTGTTCTCTTAAAACTAATTTCAACATGAACACATAAAAAAACTGGACTATTAATACCCGAACAAAAAATTTTTGTCAATACTCAGATTACCTTTTTTTATTACACTGCTAGAAGCGCCAAATTTTGGCCAATACAACTACTCTCAATTTCTGCCTAAAGGAGCTCGCTTAGACGAATGTTTTGGGCATTCTAAATTTTTGTCCCAAAAAAATATAGAAATGGTCTAGCTGTAATTTTTGATACAACCCTACACTCACTAAGTAAAATTTACCTGGGCATTAATTATCCTCACAATGACACCTTAAGCACTATTGATCTATCTACAATAACAAACAAATACTTTTCTTATAATTTTTTTCTTTTGGTCAGATTCGGATAGACATTAATTGACGAATTTTTTCTATTTCAGTGGTAAGTAACATAAATTTTGAATTATATTACCTTCACAACGGCATACTTATTTAACTTTTTATTTTCTTTTTACAGATTTTTAGGTGGGATCTACTGGTTATCTTTCCAGATTGGTACTGTTGTCTGTTCCAAGGGTTACCCACTGGCAGTTTCCCAGGTCTTTTGAAGTTCCCAGGACCTTTTCTTTGCCTGGAACCTCTGTGCCGCACCTGGCAATACAAAAATAATTGTTGGGGATGCCCGACATAACACCACTTACAAATCAACACTTACAAATTGTTTAGATACGCCACACAAATAAAACAATAAAACACACGACTAATAACTACCAAACTTTTAATACCCTCCACCTTAGGGTAAAGGAATCATTAGAAGAAATGTGGCAAAAAACCCATTATGACCTACAAAATACCAATTTTCAGACAAATACGTGAAAAAAATGTGACAAAAATCATCAAATTACCGAATATCGGGAGATACCGTTATATGGGGGCTATACCAAACCGTGGATCTATAATTACAATGACTCGCCATACGAACTGGGACCCATTATGATCTACAACTACCAAATTTTCAGAGAAATTCGTAAAAAATGTGTCAAAAATCATCAAAATACCGAATATTGGGAGGTACCGTTATAAGGGGACTATACCAAAACGTGGACCTATACATACAATGTTTCGCCACACGAACTAGGACCCATTATGACTGACAAATACCAATTTTTAGACAAATCAGTGAAAAAATGTGACAAAAACCATCAAAATACCGAATATCGGGAGGTATCGTTATATGGGGGCTATACTAAATCATGGACCCATACATGCAATGTTTCGCCACCGGAGCTGGAAACCATTATGACCAACAAATACCAATTTTTAGACAAATCCGTGAAAAAATGTGGCAAAAATAATTAAAATACCGAATATGGGGGCTATACCAAACCGTGGACCTATACATGCAAAGTTTTGCCACACGTACAGGGACCCGTTATGACCTAAAAATACCAATTTTCAGACAAATCCGTGAAAAAATGTGGCATAAATCATCAAAATACCGAATATCGAGAGGTACCTTTATAAGGGGACTATACCAGAAAGTGGACCGATATATCTCATTTTCAATACCAACCATCCTAGACACAATACCAATTGCTCTGCTAAATTTTGGCGCTCTACGTCAAATAATGTGGGCTGTATCGTGATTTCAACAGACAGACAGACAGACGGACACCGTTAAATCGACTTAGAATTTTATGCTGATTATGAATATATATACTTTATGGGGTCTACGTCGAATATTTAAGGATGTTACAAACGGAATGATAATCCGGACTATGGGGAGTACGTGCTCCCTACGTTATGGGGAGGTGGGCCTCTCAGTCGGCAGGGGCGGGAAAGTGAGTCGTTGGGAACGATCGAAAAAAAAGTTAATATACCCTCCTTTCCAAGGTGGAGGGTATAAAAACATTTAAAAATTGACTGAACTGTTTTTTCTGTTCCACACCACTCTGAAATAATGGCGCTTTTAGCCCTCTCTGTGCTTTATATACGGCCACCAAGGACGCTCAACCAAACTCTCCCTCTTTTCCAAGATTTCCCCACAAATTCCCTGACATTTATTATTTACCTTTTCAGGTGTTTTACCTACCCACTATTATCCCCAGGGTTGTATTTTTGCCACACGTCTCTCATGTTGTACAATATACAACATGAAACTTGGCATCACTTTTTAAAATTTAGCCGGCCGCCCTGCGTATCCGGTTCTATTTTTGGCTGGCGTCCAGCACGTTCGGTGCATTAAATTGCACATTATAAAAAATTTATAATGGGGATGAAAGCAACAGAACTTTAAAAAAAATTAAAGAAAGTGGTGATGTGCGTGAATCCTTACATACAGGCGTAGAAGGAATATGAAATTGTGGAGCTAAGTAAGTTACTTCTTTTTTCACCACCATCAGTCAGTCCACGTGACCAAACCAAATTTTTGGTGTCTCATTTTTTCACTTCAGATAAAGGTAAGAATTCCCTTTTATATTAAATTTCCCACAGAAATATAATCAATTTCTATTCTTTTATTGCAGACGAATCAAAAAATTACCATATTCATATTCATTCTTGGGAGTCTCATGCGCAAGTATGTGTGTGCGTGTGTGCAGCCGCGCTGCATCCATTGAAAAATTCTATTCACACACGCACATGCACGAAGTAGTTGCAGTCATGTAAACGCACATGAAGGGTGCGCAATGCCGTTAATTTACCTACATCGCCCATTCATGCCGTTTGTAGATTTATAAATCCCTATGCGACTTTGCCGTGTATCGTTGCAGCTCATTCATCGGAATCAGACAAACAAATAACAGGTAATAACTTTTTAAAGAAATATTGTATTTGTTAATTTCAACTTGTTGTTTTTTTTTCAGAAATTTGGCGAAGTAACACGCACTCATCAAATAATTTATAAGCAGGACTCGCGAATCTCATTGGAATAGATGGAAAACACAGACCGTGGAATTAACTATTTGTTTACCTTTCTTACAATGGTAACTTCGCCCACAAGTTTTTAAACGTACCCCGAAATGTACGAAAGAACAAAGTGCATCTGGGCATATTGGAATGTCACCCAGGAAATCCATGTAAGGGGTTGATTTTTAGCAGTTGAACGATGAGGCTAAAATCAATATCTTGTGCAGGTAGTCATTTTTTTGTATTTATGCATCTGCAAAACAATAGTTTTGTTATCACTTTCTTTTGCCGTATTGATGTTTTCTTTTTCCTTTTCAGGTAACCGGCCATGGTTGTGTGTAAAAAATTTGTATGTGCCTGAAGCTGTTTTTGTATGTGATATGAAAAAAGTATAAAATTAAATGGCTTAACTCTAGTTTAGTAAAAACTCTTTAATTTTTTTGATTTTTTTTCATTGATAGGTATTTTTACGCTGATTCCGGGAAACTATTTTTTTCTTGGGGGACGGACTCGGGACCTGAAAGTCCGGGTCTCCACTTACCCGATATAGACAATATAGGTATCGTTTGAAAGCTTATGAAAATGCCTATCCAACAAGTGGTCATGGGTTATTAGAAGTTATAGTCAAATTATCAATTTTTTGGACCCGGATTTTTTATAAATCCTCCAAAAAGTCAGAAAAGGGTCCATTATATGGGTCAACAAAATTAATGCCAAATTATAGCTAACACTCTTACCTTTCCAAAATGGTACAATTGGTTCTGGGTCCAGAGATATGGGTCTATCCATCCGCATATCCCGATTCTAACCAGTTCATTAAATTATGATTTAAATACAAAAAAATTTTCCCGTAGCCTGCGTTGGATTTACAAAAGTATCAAATTTAGAAAACTTTGGTTCGCGCTAGCCGGTGTGGGACATACCCAGAGGAGAAAATCTCAAGCCCCGGACGAAGGCCGGCTACTTACAAAAAGTGTCAAATTTAGAAAACTTTGGTTCACGTTAGCCGGTGTGGGACATACCCAGAGGAGAAAATCTCAAGCCCTACAAGCTACTTACAAAAAGTGTCAAATGTAGAAAATTTAGCATAGTCGGTTAAATATACCCAGAAAAGAAAAAATGTGCACATTTTCGAAAAAATTTAAAAAATTCAACATTTTATTCAAATATATATTATATTATTATATTCTATTTCTATGATTTTACAAAAATTTATTAAATATAAGATATTATATTTATCACATTTCTATTTCAATCTCCTCTTCTGCAGTTTCTGTCAAAAACTTTAACCGATCTTCCTCCGCTTTTGGGTTTGCAGGATTATACATTATTCCGGCATATTTCAAAAATTCGGAAAATATATCCTTGCCGGTCATGCTACACCATCGTATAAATATATATTTTTTTCGACGGCTATATTCAGGCAGGGAAGCTTTAAAATGTCTCCATAACCCTTCAATAGTGTTGGTATGGTAACCAGTCTGAGGGTCCACAAAATAAAGTGAATGGTTCACCTTCGCCAGCCTATAATATATATACACAAATATTATTAATTGTATTTTAATATAATATAAAAAACATACCTTCCGGCAATCCGAGACTACTATAGTTCCCGGGAGAATATATTTTTTAATAAGTGGCAAGAGGCTTTCCCTTTTCCTTTCTTCCACCGGGACAATAAAACATTTATTGGAGCCTCTTTCCACTCCTCCAAAAACTCACTACCCAGTGTCCTCTATTAAATTTTCTTCTCCCAATTTTACTCTCGTCTATCTCAACGATTTTTCCTGGCCCGCTTAGCCTCACCGTGTCCTGGAACGAACCGAAAACAACCACTTCCCTGCAAAAGTTGTTCCAATCCGTTGCAGATTGCTCACCTGTGATATTGGCTGTTTTCATGATAAAATTTATGGGTAAATTGCCACACCATAAATACGAAAACGCCAATATTTGGTAGGCGGACAAGTGGGACCGGTCCAGGAAGGTACCTTTCCTTATGGACTGGTACACCTTCCAGCTCTTTTATGGCCCTTTAAATACCGCTCGGTACATCTAAAAAGAAAAATATTAATTTAAATTTTCAACAAAAAAATTATGTACTTACCGCCAAACCCAGCCGTCCACTGTTGTTGAGCTTTTCACTAATCTTAGTGAATGCCCTTTGTCGCACTTTAATTTGCCCTCTGGCGGTATAATACCCCAGGCAATTAATGCTTTCAGAGCATTTTCGGGGATTTTACTCCAAATCTCATGATTAAATAAATCATACAGCTCAGTAATACGTTCAATATTCATTGTTTACTTTAATTTTCTTTTTCCTTACACCAACTTCCTTTTTTTTTGGATTATGGTTGATTGTTGGATAGGTACCCGTAGTACCTATGTACCAAGGCTGGTTATTTTGGTTATGTGAGTATTACAAAATGAGTAATCATGTTGGTTCACTTTGTGAATATATTGATTGATGATTTGAGAAGAACGATATTGGTTTGTTTACAATTCTTAATGTGCTGAGTGGATAAAGTTGCAAAGTTCGTTGATAATATTTTTGGTGATGTTTTTCAGAAGATCAGGTAAGTTGTTG